AGATCTATATCTTCAGTGCACTCCCTGCCGGAACCACTAGCGGGCTTCCTCTGTGAAGAAGCATCCTGAACCTTTACGACAGTCTGTCATTCCTCAAGGGATTCTGTTGGTCCCAACTACATCTTCCTCTTCATCACCAGATGTTGCAGCAATACCCTAGTCATCCTCTCTGGAACCAGAAGACTTCAGTTCATATCAGGACCTGCTCAGGCCCATGGCATTGGCCTTAGAGATTCAGGCTGAGTTTGTACAAGAAAACACCCATAAATTGGTGGATATCCTTCAGCCAGGGACCTGTTCTGGGTCCAGTTCAGTTCATAAATGATTTGGATAATGGCACAGAGTACACTTTGCAGCTAATACCAAGCTGGGGCTGGGGGTTGCAAGCTCTTTGAAGGACAGGATTAGAATTCAAAATGAGCTTGACAAACTGGAGAAATGGTCTGAAATAAATAGGATGAAATTCAATAAGGACAAATGCGAAGTACTGCACTTAGCATGGATTCAGGACATTTTGTATTATTTGCTGCATTTGAAATCTTCAGGTCTCGCTCTGAGCTCCCTGAGGGTTTACTTGGTGGCGATCTCAGCTTTCCATCTTCCCATTCATGGAAAATCGGTATTCTCAAACCCTATAATGGTGAGGTTTCTCAAAGGGATTATCTGTCATTTTCCACCAGTGAAGGTAACAGCACCATTGTGGGTCCTTAATATGGTCATGGGGCACTGATGGGTCTGCCATTCAAGCCAATAGCAACATATTCATGGGCTCTCCTCTCTCAAAAGACGGCCTTCCTTTTGGCTATAACACCCCCAAGAAGAGTTAGCGAACTGCAGGCCTTTATGGCAGATTCTCTGTACACTCAAGTCTTCAAGGAGGCTTTAAGACCACACCCAACATTTTTGTCCAATCGGGTTATTTACTTACCTATATTTTTTCCCAAAGCACATTCAAGTGCAGAGGAGCAGTGCCTATATAGCGCAGATGTCAGCTAGTGCTTAGCAACTTAGTTAGAAAGGACTGAGCCGTTTTGTTCATCACCTTGACTCTGTGTCCGTCACTGAGTGGTTGAAGGGACAACCAGTCGCTGCTCAGACCATTTCCAGGTGGGTAACTGACTGCATTACCACACCTTCTAGAGTGAGTTGGTTGATACCTCTGCAGTCATTGCGGGCTCATTCGACAAGAGCTCAAGCAACACCGGATGCATTCCTTAGTGATGTCTCCGTAGTGGATATCTGCAGGGCTGGAATATGGTACTCCATGGATACCTTCACTAGACATTATGCTATCATCATGGCACTGAGAAGGGATGCAAACTTTGAGAAGGCAGATCGGCTCTCACTATTTAAATAGACTTTGAGCCAATCTCCTGCTGGAACTGCTTGTGGGATCAGCATCTATTTAAGTATACTCTCTGTGCCATCATCCAAATCATTTGTGAAGATAGTTACTGGAACCAGACCTGGGGCTGATCCCTGTGATGACTGGAGGATATTCACCAGTTTATGGGTGTTTTGCTGTACAAACTTGAAAAGATAGTTACCTACTTATATTTTAACTGTTGTCCTTCGAGATGTGGGTGCAGATGCGTATTCTGCGACCCACCCTCCACCCCTCTGCATTGAAGTCTCCAACCTGGGATTTTGGTGTGAAGGAACAGAGGGGGGCGGGGCAGTGCTGCCCTTAGCCCCTCCCTTGGGTATATATGTGGGATGGGGCATGAGGGCTGCTAGGAAAAATTCTTCAACTTTGGTGTGTTGGGTGTGCTCTCACCTGAATGAAATACATGTCTGCATCCACATCTAGAACAACAACAGTTACAATAAAGTTAAGTAACCATCTTTTATAATTACATTGACACCTATTAGTTAACCAGCTTTTATCCATTTCATGTGTGCCATTTTAATTTTATATTGCTTTAATATTTTAATCAACATGTCATGTGATACCAAGTCAAATGCCTTACAGAAGTCTAAGCATATTACACTAACTGTTCCCTTTATCAGTCAAACTTGTAATCTCATCAAAAAAGATGGCTCATAGTCATCTGTGATAAATCCATACACTCAGGTCCCTCTCCTCCTCTGTCACTTCCAATGGACGAGCCCCCAGCTTGTAGCATAAATTCATATTAGACCCCAAGTGTGTGACCTTGGATTTTGTACTATTTAATTTCATCCTATTTCTGTCTTCAAGGTCATCCAGCTTTTCCTGTCTATTATTCCGATCTTCCTCGGTATTGATGATGCCTCCAACTTTGTATCATCAGCAAATTTCATTAGCGGATTCCTACTTTTTTTGCCAAGGTCATTAATAAAAATATTGAATAAGTTTGGTCCCAAGATGTATCCTGGAGGGACTCCACTAATAATATCCCTCCAGGCCAATAATTCAGTTTTCAGCACAACCCATTGCCTTCTCCCCTTTAGCCAATTCCTTATCCAATGAGGATCAGTACAAGCATTATCCAATGCTTGTACTGATCCACATCTTCCTTAACTGCACTAATTATTTCCCATGTGGTACCATGTTAAATGCTTTACAGAAGTCCAAGTATATTAGATTTCTTTCACTTCCCTCCTCTGAAAAAAATAATTTTTTAGATAAGGAAGTTAGGTTAGTCTGGCATGGTTTATTTTTGGTAAACCCATCTTGCATTACGTCCCCTTTACCATTTACCTCTATTAATTTAATTATTCTTGAAATACTTATTGAATACTTCTGCCTGTTCTGCATTATTATTGGTAATTATATCATTTCCATCTAGTAGTGGACCAGTGCCATTGTCAGGATTCTTTTTGTTCCTAATATGCTTAGATTCCTTCTTATTGTCCTTAATTCTGTTGGCCATAGATTTCTCCCTGTGTCCCTTGGCATCCCTTATCAGTTTTCTACAGTACCTAGCTTCTGATTTATATTCATTACTATTGACTTCCTCTTTCTTCCATTTGTTATATATATAGCTGCCATCTCTTCCTCTAAACTAGGTTAGGTTTTTGAACCACTATGACCTTCTTCCTCAGTTGTGAAATTGTGGCTTTTGGGGCATCTGGTAAATTATGTGACCTCACCAAAACTATGCACAGAAGGGCTGTTCCTTCCCTTCTTGTGGAAGGAAGGCCTCTGGGCTTGGAAGGTGAGCACAGGATCCTGGGGGGTGTCTCCCCAGAGTGGGATAGAGAGGGGCTCCCACTTCATGAGCTCGGCCATGCTTTGCATTTGCCGCACAGAACTGCCCTGCTCTTTGTTGCCATAGCACTCTAATTCCCTACCCCTCTCATTCCTTTCTGCTCTCTCCACAGTTTGCCCTTCCCACTGGGTGTTTGAGTTTTAGGTTATTTTCTCCCAGACCCACTAACTGCATTTTTCTCAGTGGAATCCCATTCTGTTATTTCCTGCTCAGGTTTTCCAGCCTCTCTGGCCCCTTTGGATCATGCCTCTGATCTCCTGGAGGTTCTGGCCTTCTCCCAATTTAGTATCACGTGGGAATGTCACCCACATGTTGCTCACCACTGTGTCTGTGATCACTAACATGCTAAATCAGGCCAGTCTAACTGTAGTCCTGGCAGCTGTTCCCCCCCTGCCATCCGCTGCCCTCTGTTTACATCCTTCAGCCAGTTACTCTGCCCTTGCAAGTTTCAGATCTATGCCCATTTGCATTCTTTCAGCCCAGAGAAGCAGGGCTCGAGGCACACACTGTCTTGGGGTCTCAGTGGCTCTGGGGTCTGATGGCACACAGACTACTTGGCAGCTTTGGGCATTTGTGGCTGACTGTGCCTGTAATTGGTTTGAGGTGGAAGGACAGAGCTTCAGCTTCAAACCCTGCTTGCAGTACAGTGAAAGTAAGGGGGTGCCACCCAGTGCCAGCAGGAGAGCGGCCCCTTCCACCGAGCAGCACGCACATCCCTGGGATGGTGGGGGGGTTGATGGGGAGAGAAAAGGGAGGCAGAGGTGTTTGAGAGTCAGGCCTGGGCTACAAACTCACTGGCACCGGTTTAGTGGAACCAGGATGACGGGTTAGTGTTAGTGAACATAAGAACGGCCAGACTGGGTCAGACCAAAGGTCCATCCAGCCCAGCATCCTGTCTACCAACAGTGGCCAATGCCAGGTGCCCCAGAGGGAGTGGACCTAACAGGCAATGATCAAGTGATCTCTCTCCTGCCATCCATCTCCACCCTCTGACAAACAGAGGCTAGGGACACAATTCCTTACTCATCCTGGCTAATAGCCATTAATGGACTTAACCACCATGAATTTATCCAGTTCTCTTTTAAATGCTGTTATAGTCCTAGCCTTCACAACCTCCTCAGGCAAGGAGTTCCACAGGTTGACTGTGCGCTGTGTGAAGAAGAATTTCCTTTTATTTGTTTTAAACCTGCTGCCCATTAATTTCATTTGGTGACCCCTAGTTCTTGTATTATGGGAATAAGTAAATAACTTTTCCTTATCCACTTTCTCCACACCACTCATGATTTTATATACCTCTATCATATCCCCCCTTAGTCTCCTCTTTTCCAAGCTGAAAAGTCCTAGCCTCTTTAATCTCCCCTCATGTGGCTTTCTGCCGATGGGCAGGGCACGGAGCTTACCCCAAATCAGTCCAAGAATCAGTTGCAAAGTGTGGGCCACAGGGGAGGCAGAGGATGTAGCAAGGGAGGGGCAGGCAGGAGGGCACACAAGCTCATCTGCTATCCTGCTTAAAGAGGCCTGTTCTCTCCCTCTCCTGGCCCCCAGACCAAGGAGCACATGTTCCCAGGGCAGACTCCAGTGGCAGCGGGGCCCAGGCAGCCTGGAGAGGCAGTCCCCTGTCTGCTCTGAACTGTGGCTGTGCTTGGCCAGCAGCCCTGGCCGAGCCCATGGAGAGATGCAGTGTGAGTAGCCGGGCAGTGCTGCAGGCCTGGCCCCCTTCTCTGCTATCATGCTATTTTTGAATTCTCTTTTGTTTTTGTTTTTTGTTTTTCTTTTTTGTTCTGTCTCCTCGTGTTTGGTCCCTAGGAGCCAGCGCTAAGAAACAGGGCGAGGACTTAGCGGATAATGACGGGGATGAAGATGAAGGTATTTCTGTGCTCGAGGCTGCTGCTGCTGCATGACACGCAAAGCAAATCCGTTTGCTTTCCATTCTCTGCCATTTCCAGGGAGCCCTGTCTGTCTGTGTCTTTGTTTCCTGATCAGTTGCACGGGGCGGGCAGGTGGGGTGACCGGCTGTGCAGGGGGCGCTCATACCTTTCCTTTGGGGGAAGCTCAGGGGGTTTTGCTTTAGAAGGAGTTTGCTGGCTGCCCAACCTGCCTCTGTATGAGCAAAAGGCTCTAAGGAAGCATGGCGACGTGAACAAGAGAGGAGCCAAAGGGTGCCTGGCTCGATTTCACCCCAAGCCCAGTCACATTTCACCTCCAGCCTCAGTTCTCGCTGGACCTCAGACTTACTGTGTCAACTAAGAGACTTTCCTTTCTGGCTCCACCCCCCATGCTGCCATCCCAACCTCCCTTCTCCCCACGGTGCACAGTGTCAGAGCCGTCAGCACCTGTCCTCATCCCCTTGTGTCCCGTGCGACTTCCTCTGAGGCCCCACAGGCTTGCAGGGAGCATGCACATGGCAGAATGCAGTCCAGGCCTGCTTTAACCCATGTCCAGATTTGCTATCTAGAGTCTAGTCCGGCTCTCTCTCTCTCTCGCTCTCTCTCTCTCATGCGGCCGCTCGCGCGCTCTCTGCTACTGCCGCTCCCCACTACAGGTGCAGAGGAAACTGGAAATATGGATGAAGGCAATAGGCTGAGCACAGAGCTGTCGGGAGCTCTGGAGACCTGCAGAAGAGAGCACTGTCACTTTACTGGCCTCTGCTTTCTCTCCAGGATTAGCATCTTCATTTAGGAGCAGGGATACCCCTCACCTGTCCAGTGAAGGGCAGCAGGCCCTGCAGAGAGTAGCCCTGAGGGTTCTGTTGCAGGCTGTGCCATAGTGTCCGGTTAGCATCACCCGGGCTAGCTCAGCGGATTGGATTTGAGGGGGACAGAAGTCCCCCATTTGGGTGTTTGATCTGCTTTAAATACCTGGCTGTGCTTGCTGCACAGTTGCTGTTAAGGGCGACCATGCATTCCACAACGCACTGCTTGTGAGTCAGTGACTTGCCAGCTCTTGGCCCAAGCCCCATGTGAGTGGATTTGAGGAGGGCAGCCGCTCTGGTACCGCCCAGGCGTGAGTGAGAGGACAGGCATGCTGTATTGTTTGCTGAGGGTATGGCGGAGCCTGTGGGTGAGCGAGTGAACACACCAGGGTTGGATGGGGCTGCCTGGCGGGAGCGAACTGGGGCACTGCACACTGTCACAATGAGCTGGTGAATTTGGCAGCTGGTCTCAAAGGGCCTGACTGCGGGAAGGGGAGGGAAGGCAAGCATTACTTCAGTGGCTTGGCCACCCCTCTCGG